GTTTGAGGTGAGACAGAACATCATGGTGGAATGGTGTGGAGGAGGGAAGAAGCTCACATGATGATCAGGAAGCAAAGAGAGACATCTCTACTCCCCAGGTAACAAATACATACCCCAAAGGCATGCCCCCAATGATCCACCTCTTCCAGCCACATCCTACCCACCTTCGGTTACCACTCAGTTAATCCCCATCATAACCCAATCATAAGACTCTCATAACCCAATCATATCACTTCTGAATGTTCTTGCATTGTCTCATACATGAGCTTTTGGGGGACACATCACATCCAAACCATAAAGTTGAATATGTAAATAGATACAGGATGAAACAACTTTACTAAAATATTGATTTTGGAATCAAGTGACAGCTAATGGATGTTCACTCTAAAATTCTTTCAAAATTTCCATCTGTTTGCAAATTTTTGTAAACAATGTTGGAAAAGAAAACACATATGGGTGCATTCTTTCTCTCAGTAGAGTTTAAGTTCAAGTTCCTATACTTTATGTTGTTCTAGGATTGTCCCAGGAGAGTGGATGATTAGCAAGGAAATAGTCAAGGAAGTCCTTTGTTATATACTGATTAAGCAACAAATCATATAATTATATTTGGTAAGAATTCCTACAACAAGGCTCACATGGTTAACCAGAAGCTTAGGTAACTACTACCTAAACTTGGCTGCCTACTACCCCTCCAGCTTGGGATCTGGCTGCTGATGCCAGATTATTTAGTGCATTCAGGAGTGGAAGGTGACTCATGGGTGTTACTTGTTGCAACAGGAGAAATTATTTGCTTTTTTGTGACTCATAAACCTCTCACCTAGGGAAAGCAGCCCTTGTCATTCTTGAAATGATGCAGTATATTTCCATCCTGTGGATCGATGTGACTCCATGATTTGTTTTTTAAATTTTAGTGGGTCTAGAATGGGAAAAATCCTACTCATCATCATCATCACTATCACCATCATCATCATCAAAAGAATGGGTGTTCCCCACTAATTAAAATCATTCTGCTTTACTTCATTTGATTGTTCTATGATTTCATATAGGCCAGTAACATTATGCACTACACCTATTTTATATTTGTGGAGACTGAGATATGAAGTATGCAAGTGACCTGACCCAAGTTAATTGAAGGGTACAGAGATAATGAGTTGAAATTAGAATTTAGGTTTCTGACTTCTAATTCAATTTCCTTTACTTCGTGCCCAACTGAAAACATAGGCAAATTATCATTGCCTAATTATTATTGCTTAATTTTGTCAAGAAGGAAGAAACTGTAGAGGAAACAGGGTATTGGGGAAAGTCATACAAATACAATCATGGGGAATAGGAATTTTCCCTAGTTTGAATTCATGCTGTGCAATTGCACAATCTTAAATCAATTCTCCATCCTGTCCTTCCATATTTAATGCAGTGTTTGGCTCTTCTGAAATATTAAATCTAAGTTTGAGTCTCTCCACATGAAATTGCCCCAAGCTGGGTACTCTTTAAGGATTAGTGAGTAGATGTTGGTCACTAAGGACGCTTTCTTATGTCTATTGCTTCTCCTGTGTTCCTTTCCCCAGGCACCTGTTAAGGTGTAACACCCTGGTGTGGAGGGTCTACTGCCATCATGCCCATTCCATCAGCTCCTGAGAAACTATAAGACATATTCTCCAAAATGCCAATTGCCAGTGTCTTTTAATGCCACTTGATTTCCCTTTGTGTTTCCTGGCATGGGAAATTGGCATTGACTAGGGAGTAAGGTATTCCTAGGAATGAAACCCTCCTCCACCAGTTCCTACTTGTGAAATCTGGGAAAATTTTCAACCTCCTTTAGGATTTCCATCCACATAGTGAAGTTAATTTTAGCACCTGCACCTCGAGGCTGTTATGAGGATTAGATGAAACCATGTCGATGAAGGGTGGAGCTAAATGTGGAAATGTTTCTCCTAAATTTTCCTCTAGTACTTTCGTAGTTTCAGGTTTACATTGTCTTTGATCCATTTTGAGCTGAGTTTTTGTAGAGGGTGAGAGGTAGTGATCTAGATTCCATCTAGTACATGTGGTCATCCAGTTTTGTCATTGAAATTAACATCTTAAAGGAGACATTAAGCACTTCCATCTTCATTGTAGCAGTATTCATAATAAGCAAGATGTGGAAACAAACTAAAGTCATAAGTAGATGAATGGATAAAAATATAGTATGTACATAGAATAGTATTCAATCTCAGGAAAGCAGGAAATCCTGCAATATGTATAGCATGAATTAACCTTGATGACATGATGCTGAATTTAATAAGAATATGGAAACACTTCTCATGTATTTGATAAAATTTATGTGTGTCTAATTGGAAGGAATTACATTAACATATTTTTGTAATCAGAAAAATCTTGCATTAAGAGAACACCAAAAGGTGTGTAGTTATGGAGTAAATTTTAATTTGCATAGTAGGTGACTAATCAATAAAAATCATCATTTTTCTGAATTCACAATCTCTACTAATTTTTCTCTTTCATTTGTGATGACAGTCATGTACACTTAGTGAAGTACTGACTGTATTTTTATTGCTCTTTCAATACGCCCAACAGAGGTTGAGAACCAAAGCTGGTTGCTTTCAAACTTCCCAGACCACTGAGCACTAAGGTAGAATTTAGGTGAATGTTTTCTCAGACCATTTTATGTCTGCCTTTCTTACCATAAGGTTCTCTGTTCAATGGTATTAACGAAGCTCAATTAATCAGCCAGGATCCAGAGTCTCTAAATCACTTCCGAGAATTATATTTAACTCTCCAAGTGAAACTCAATGGATTCTCATGGTTCTTGGAGTGAAGACAAACTCTAAGTGGCCCTATGCATCCTGTCAAACCTTGTGTACCATTCTAGCCCTTGTTCCCTCTGCTTAAGTCCCACTGGCTTCTTTCAAGTCTTCTCATTCCCTTGTGTCACAGTCTGCTTCTGAGTCCAGTGTCTGAACCACTCTATCACCTCCACTACCTTCACTCCATCTTAGCTGGTCAAGCTGCCACTTACCTTCTTTCTTACCTACCACCTTATTTTTCTTATTAATTATAAACACTCGATGTTGTGTTTATAATTCTCTGGGTTCCCTTTCAAGCATTGCTTGCTCTGTGTTTGTGAATCCTTAGGACACTGTTTAGTTTGTATCTTTTTTAAACCATAGAAATACAAAGGATCATAAGCGATCATGACAATTTTGTACCACAAATTGGACAACCTATAAGAAATGGATAACTTCCTAGAAATATGCAATCTACCAAGTGTGAATCAAAAAGAAATAGAAAATCTGAACAAACCAACAAAGAGTAAGGTGAAAAAAATTGTAATCAACACTTCCAAAGAAAAGCTAAGGACTAGCTAACTGAGCACCTTTTTTTTTTTTTTGAACTGATTTTTGTTTTGTTTTTGAACTAATCTATATATATCTCCCAGATTTTTCCAGAATTGCATAGTAACTAACTCTTGGAACAAGAAAACACTAATTTTGTCAAAACACTAATTTTGACACTGAGTGGAAAATTCCTCTGAGGTAATCAAGTTATCCTAGGAGAGGTCTGATTGCTGTTTCCAGTACCAGGAGAACAGGCAGTGCTTGAGAATCTCTGGGAACTGGACCAGGTAAGAGAGAGAAAGCCAGCCATGGACCCCACCTCCTCCTGCAACCCTGAGTTCAGGCAAGAGAAATCATCCATAGATCTACCACTAGGAGAAATAAGAGCTCCTGACAGGACTTTTAGGAAGAATCATGAGGTCACGAGAGCCTTTTATTCTTTTCATTCCCCTGCCTAACTTCCCTATTTGATATTATGACCTTTCAATGTTTGTTTCTCCCAGGTGACCATTCCTTATTTTCTTAGCTATGTATGTTCTTCATTCCCTAGGAGCTGTGCAGGATTTTTTTATGTTATTGTCACTAGGGATTTAATTAAGAAACAAACAACCAAAACCTTATTTACATGGTTTGGAGGGGTGAATGCTTACCAGTAGAATTTCAGACAACCGATAAACCAATAATGCTGATTTTTTTTTTTTTTTTGAGCTGGGGAAGAAAGCTTGTGTGATCATACTTTCCCTCCCTGCAGCTAAGGTCATACCCTTGTGGATAACTGAACAAAAGCACAGACTCCAGACACCGTTGGGAACTGAGCATGTCCACTCGTTTCTCTAGCACTGAAACTCTCTCTCAGGGAAAACTCTCTTAAGACACATTTAATTTGGTGCCAAACCAAAGTGCTTTGACATAGCTCTTTCTTTCATCTGGGTGACCCACTAAGAGTGCACAATAGTTCTGCTCTGGTGATGAGGGAGGATGCAACCCCATTTTGAACTTAAGGGACAGTCTATTTTTTCAGCCAATTATAAGACACCTTTAAATAAAGAGCTGCTTGGTCAGTTGCTATTAGGCTGGAGGTTGAAAGTTCCTGTAAGGGATCCTATGGAAATTCTAATTTCTCCATATGGAAACATGATGTATGTATACACATAGGTGGATGCAAGATTAAAAGTCTGAAGTGTATACTGAAAGATATTTTAATGTTGATTTTGATCAATTTTTAAAGAAAAAGGAGTTCACATACTTGAAAAGAAACAAGCAAAAATCTGTGCTTCAACAGACTTCTTAAATAAGTGGTTTCCTTCTAAGAGCAATTGCACCTTTTCTTAAAGTACTTCATCAGATGTCTCTCCTTTGGCCAGTTCATTTGTGAAACTTTTACCTATTCCTGTACTTACATCCCTTGACTGAGATGATCTGAGTAAGGTCTACTGGTATGACTAATTTCAAGATTCTAATTTAAAAATTAAAAAGAGTGAGCTCCCATTTCCCTTTTGCTCCTGTGGCCAAAGTCTTGTTTCTTCTGCTTCCTGTTTGCAGAGAAGACCTTCAGGGAAGGGGTCAAGGTACATCCTTGGGATTCACGTTCCTGGCACACCCAGGTATCCCAATGGTGCTAGTTAATTCCCAGATAAGCAGGGAAGAACTCTTGCACATTCACCAACCCACTTCAAAAGAAGGGTTCTGCATCATTCATAGTAAGCATCCATCCAGAGGGCTGCAGATTTCTTCAAGGCCCTGTGTGGAAGGAGGGGAAAAAAATCAGGAGGTAAGACTGTAATGAAAAGGAGCTTCTCCATGCAACATTTAGTTCCTCTGCGTGGTTCAGGGTAATGTCATTTGCAACTATATCTGATAAATGTCATTCTCTGTTGACCAGGGAAGAGGTCAACAAACTACTGACTCCACTTTTCCTTTGTGGGAAAGATTTGAATTTTGTTTTCATTTTATTCTGTGTTCCCATACACTTATATACCAATGTTTCTATCTATCCTGGTTTTTAATGAGGAACATACTTTTCTAGACTCTGGGTCTATAGCAATGGAGAGGAGTGAGTACTGTCTACAGGGAGTTCCTGGTCCAGCTTAGGAGACATGCATTAAATAATTTATCATCCAATAAGTTTCTTGATCATGGCTGGGATAAAGATCATCAATGTGGAGAATTAGGTGCTATAAAAGCACCTGGTGGATTTAGTCTTGAAGATCTGTGAAGACCAACATGAGGAAAAGGAAATAGTGATGAGCCTTGGAGAGTGAGTGGGGATTGACAGGGCCATATGAGAGGAGGTGGTTATTTGAAAGAACATTCCAGGTGGAAATTAAGTGACAAAGGGACGAGATTATCCAGAGGCAGGGAATTTGGCAAGAATTTGCCAGATATGTGGGGGTCAGAGAGGGAAGAGGGAATTGTGGAGAGTCTGAGCTGGGGCATTAGATCGGGGTCAGATGAGACCCAGTTTTTTAATGAGGAACAGGCCTGACATTGTTGGCCTTCTTCAAAGTACTTCCCCCCACCACCCAATTTTAAAAGAAAAAGTTACTAAACACAGACCATTGGCTGTTGATTTGCCCAGCATTGTAGGAAACTCTGTAAAGGGCTCAGGATTAGCATGGATGTTTAGTTCCTCTAGTTTCACTACTCAGGGCATGTCACTCATCTGTTTTGCACATAGTGTCCCAGTAGAGCTGGCAGGCATCTGAGTTGGCAGTAGTGGACCAGAAGATTTGAGAGTCCCTCCTACCACCCAAATTCGAAAGCATGCACAAAGCTCTAGGGAAGATGCAAAGACAAATGATATGAAGCCTTGGTTTCAAAAAGCCTGAAATAGAGTAGGACGGAGAGACATATTATTGCTGTAGTTTTTGTTCCATGCAGACTCTGGTATTAGTGCTGGACTCACAGGTGCTCCTTAGTAAATGGATGTTGGGTAGATAGTGATTCATGAGCTAGTGCACAGTCTGGGGACTGGCAGTGAGGGGGAAATGAGAGGTCTGAGCCAAGAGAAGTGACGTTATTACCTGATGATATCTCCAAATGCCTTCAACATGGGCTTATTCACATACTTCAATCCGTGCTTGGTGCACAGTGACCTCACCAGGGGTGCCACTTTGTGATAGTTATGGCGTGGCATTGTGGGGAACAAACTAGGGAAAGAGATAGGAGACATGAAGCTTAGGCCTGTAGAGAAACCAAAGGAATTTTCTTTCCTGTATTACCAAATACAATTCTATTAGCAATGTAGACCCAACCTTGACCTTGCTCAATACTTCTGGGAAGTTCTAGCACTCTTGCCAAGATGCTCTCATCTTATCTCTTAACACCTCTGTGAGCCAGACCCATTTGGGTGGCAATGTTTGGGAAATGCTAACAGAAGGAATACTAGCTCCATCAAATATGTTTATTTTGGGGCTGTCTATCATTTTGAACTACCGAGGAGAGCTGAAGAACTCTCTCATCCCCTGTCTCTATGTCTGTCCCTCTCTATCCATCTAATTTCTACCCCATGAATAGGTGAGTATTCACTAAGGTCTAGTCATAGTACATGGGGAAGGGTTTTAAGACAGAAATTAGAAGTTAGGAGATCTGGGTCTTATCTAAGGTTTTCACTCTTCAGTCAGTAACTTTCTTGGATTTTAACCTCATCTTTGAGAAAATATGAACAATAACCCTTTCTTGTTTTGCTAAGATTTTTAAGGACTACTGTAAAAGAAAGGATGAGAAAATCACATGAACAGGTATAAGATCTCTTTTCTTCTCTGCATCTCCCAGATATGGCTTATATAAAGAAGATATGGAAAATGTCTTCCTTGACTATTCTGGGGAGATCAACCCTCCAGGTATTAACATTTTATCTTTCTTTAATGTTTGTCTACCTAACTAACTCTTTGGTAAAGTATTGCCATATACCATTTGGAAATCGCATAAGGGGCTAGAATTCATTGTTGGTTATTTTGTAACTTTGGTTCAACATAGATAGATATTTAAATTAAATTGTGACTACATTTCAATACAACATGTTTACTCAAGTGGTATGATTTATTTTATTTTTTGGTTTTACCAGCAAATGAAATGTATACACACACACACACACACACACACACACACACACACACAATCACCAATTTCTAAGAATGAATGTATGTGAAAACTAAATTACTGACACCTGAGATTCCATTCCATTTTCTCATAATTGTTATATCGTCTTCCTTCCTTTCTTCTCTCCTTCTCTTACCATTGAAGCTAACAGAAAATGGCAGCCTTCAGAAAATACTGATTATTTTTTTCCTGCTGAGACTTTCAGTTGAAGGACTCTGGACTATATTTTTGGGTGTTATAAAAGTGAATACCCTTGCATATTCATGGATTATTTCTATTACTCACTGGTGTTCGATTTGGAAGTTCAGATGTCCTGTGAACCAGTCATTGAAAAAAGACTGTTCAATATTACAGGTGGCCAAGACCTGTAAAGAAAAAGATTACATTAGATACAAATAAGTCCAAGTGTCCAATTAAGAAAATGTTTATTTATTCTGTCATTCAGTCAACCACCATAAAGCGCTATTGAATATTTTGCATAAGAAAATACAAGGGCTATAAGAGACACATAGTTCCAAAATTCAAGGAATTTACCATTTTAAAAGACAATGAAATATTTTACCATGAAGTACAAATGTGGCAATAGATATGAAAGAGTAGGTAGAACTTGAGCAGGCAATCACTATTGATCTTTAGATGCAGAAGGTTAAGGTGTTGTGAATAAAGACTTTGGCAGATGGAGGTGGGACTGCGAGATTATGATGGAGATTTATTGGGGTAGATCACCATTTACACAGAGAGGACTTAAAACACTTCTAAATGAGGAATAAGGCATTCAAGGGCCCTAACCCAGGCCTCTGCACAAAAGTGCTTTGTAATATTAGCAGTTTTCTTCATAATTGCCTGTATTTTATTTTATGCATTAAAAAACATGATGCGGATAGAGAACTGATAGGTTACTTCAGGATGCTGAGATTAGGAATCCATATAAATTCATTTTATTTGGTGCCTATTTAAGGTTTAATTTTAGCTGGGATTGTTGTCATTTTGAATGTTAATCTGTAGTTGCTTTGTGTTAATTGAAATGTGGCTCAGAGGATCTCCAGGTAACCAAGACATTTTAATGGGGTCTGCAAGGTTGAAATTATTTCTATAATGCTTATAAGACATTAGTTGTCTTTTTAAATTCTCGTTCTTTCATAGTTATACTGTGGAATTTTCCATAGGCTACTAAATGTAGGATGACATTGTCATTCTGATGTTAACATGCATTAGTTCGGTTATTATTTTAAATTTAATAACAAATAAATATTTTAAAATTTCACACTTTTAACTTTAGATACACTAGACGTCAATCTGTATACACAAAAACTCTTTTGTTTTGTGATTTACGACAACTTTTAAAAGTATGAAGTGTTTTTCTTGTTTGTCTTCATTGTAACTGGGATGGAGGGCATTTCAAAGACCAGGAATTTAAAAACTTGGTGGGAAGGTTTTGCTAAATTCATGTCTTAGTTATAAACATGGTATGGTAATATATTATTTTAATTAAATTTATTAATATAGTTTCATGCCGGAATTATGATAAGGCAAATGAGGAAACTAAGTGGTTCACCATCATAGATAGTTTCTGGTACATTGCAAGTGGGTACAGAAAAATATTAAGAAATCCCCTTCATAATAAAATTAAGTTACCAAAGAACCAACAAGGAAAATGTTTATAACATATATTACAGACAATGTATTAATATCCCTACTCTATGAAGAATCATAGAACACAGTAAGGAATATATAAATATCCAGATACAACAATAGTTTGTCACATGCCTATAATCTCAGAACTCAGAAGGTTGAGGCAGGAGGATCACACATTAGAGGTCAGCCTCTATAATTTAGTGAGGCCCTAAGTAACATAGGGAGACCCTGTCTCAATATAAAAATAGAAAAGGGGTAGGGATGTGGCTCAGTGATTAAGCACCCCTGGGTTCAATCCCCAGTATTAAAACAAACATACAACACCACCAACGAAACACAATAGGTTAAGGGCATTGATAAACAATTTACTAAATAGAAATATGAAGATATAATAAGTATTTCAAATTTAGTCATCTAACTAATGATTAAATCAATAGACTACACACAAAACCAAAAGGCAAAAATTGGTTCTGTGATCAGAAAGCTTGAGAATCACTCCATTTTACCTTGCAAAGGATCTCCTGAGTTTGTGTCTGAGCTTGTAGAAGAAGTGAGATAATGACAGGGGGTCCCTTGTTATCATAGCACGGCCAGTTGAAAGGGACTGTGCCAAGCAGGGAGGTTCTGTGTCGATCATAATTCTGTTATTTGGAGAATATGCCATGACCCCTCCCCAGAATGTCCTATGTATGTAATGGAGGAGACTTCCAAAGGTCTTCCAAATATAAAATTCATTCTGTAATTTTATGAATTTCAGACTCACTGGAAATCCTGTGTCATATGGGAGATTAGAGCAGGGGGCAGCAAATATTTTCTATAAAGTGCCAGGTAGTAAATATTTTACTTCTCCCGAAGGTACTCCTCAATTCTGCAATAGTAGCATGAAATATGTAAATGAAAATGTAAATAAATGAACATGACTGTGTTCTAATGAAACTCTATTTATAAAACTAGGAGTAGGCTAGATATGGCTGCTGGGCTGTAATAGATAGACCTTGGGTTTGGATGAAAGACTTAATAATCAAACCACTTCTATCACTTATTAGTTGTGTGATCTAAGAGTTTATCATCTTATAAAATGATAATAATCATTATGCCTAGCTTATGCACTTATAAGCAAAGCATCTCACAATTCCCAGGGGCCCTAGAAAGCATTTTATGAAGATGAGCTATTGTCTTTTGAGAAAATCAGATTCTAAGTGAGCCTGGCTGCAGGAATTCTTCCTCATAAACTCCATCATTACCTGAGTACTGAGCCAGTCGCGATTCTCCTCTGTGCTCATTTTCATTGGTATGTGGCTCATCTGGGTAACATATGCAATCCAGGGACTTTCAAGAAACCTTTCAGGGAATAAAAGGAGGGAGTGATGACTCTTTAGGGTGTTTCAGTTGCAATCACTGGGCTTACATAACCCCTGGTGCATCTAACCAAGCATTAGAAGAAATGAAGGAGTCCAAAGTTCCCATGAAATGGTGGTCATTCATTTTCCTCTTCGAATACTCTATATCTAGAATTGACACTCAGCCAGTTAGCCCCAAGACCTACCCTGTCTCCTAATTTCTGGGAGCAGTGCAAAGATTTCTGTAGCTCTGGTGAAAGGATAAAAATACCAGGCTTTGTCATCAGAGCTGGGTTTGAGTTTTGTCTTGTCATTGACCTTGGCCCTTCCTTGTTCTATGACCTTAGGCAAGTTGATTTAATCTCTCCAAGCTTCACTTCCCTTAGCAGAAAAACAAAGATGATACCATCTACATTGCAGGATGGCACAAGGATTACATCAGGTAAGACAATACATGGAAGGACTTTGACAAAGGGTCTGACACACAGTAGCTGTTACTGTCCTTATAATTATTTAGGATTTAGAATAGTAATGCAACAGAATGAAGAAGGAATAAATTGGGGAGTTGGGGAGGGCTATTTAGTCAGAAGGATGATTGGAAGTCATTTTTAGTTTTGAGAAAATCTCTAGTCACAAAAGAACTTTAAAAAGTTCCTGACCTATCTTTATTTTGTCTGGGAATATGATGTCTAAATAGATAAACTGAAATGTTTTACTTGGGAATAAACTGGACAAAAAAAAAATGGAGATTGGGAAAACTGTTCCTGCAAGGAGCTTGTGTCATTCAACTATTTTAACTATTGCTTTTTCACATTTACTTAAAAACACCTCTGCTCCAGGGAACGGGGCAGGTAGGCACCGTCTTCTGCCAATCACATGTAGCTGTGGGAAGAAAAGTCAGAGGATCATTTGGGTTATAGATATAAGAGAATATTCTTACTTGACCAAATAAATGAGCAACACAGTTCCAAAAATTCCATAGAAAGGGCCAAATGTGATGAAATGGCGGATATAAAAGCTGCTGACCCAGGCAATGTCCTGTAGAGAAAAGCACTTAAAGTTAGATGCACCAAACATAATTTCATTTCTTCATCGGGCTGAGTCCCTCTACCCCATGTATTGGTCTAATCTTATGTCCCGTTATTTAAGAAAGCTTCATCTGGTGAGCCCTGAGCATTTTCCATTCCTCTCTTCTACCTGGACTAGTTTTAGACACTGAGCCGAGTTACTCACCACCCAATACCTTCGAAGGTACATCACTTGCATGGATTGCAGATTGAAATACACAGGCATGAGGAGGGGGAGCCCAACTGAAAAACAACAATGAAAAGACGGCCAACAAATGAGCAGAATGTGACCCCAGTGCAAGTTGGTGTCCATCTCTTTACCATGACACTCCCAGGACATTGGCCCTGAGAAAGAATACAAGGTGGAGATCCATGACCCCAGCCAGGGCCCCACTGTGCTTCCCAAGTCTACCAGGCTGAGCTAGGAATTTGGTCATCAGCTCCAGGTTCAAATGCCCTCAAAGCAGCTTGGAAAGCATTGACGATTTGAATCATTTTTTGATGACAGCGTCTCTGAAAATCCGCTGTGAGCTTTGAAGGGTTTCCCATATCCTGGGAATTCTTTAGTTCCTCCAGATCCATGGGATTGAGTCCTGTCAAAATGTGTTGGTGTGTGTGTGTGGGGGGGGGGGATAAGGAAGGAGTCCAGGACTGGGATGATCTCAATCCTCTCAAAGTTCCTCTCTGACAAAGGCAATGCTGCCAAAAGAATTCACTACTTTTTTCCTGCCAAAACTTGACTATGGATCAGCTCTTGACCTCCCTTTTTCTTAGAGGAATTGGCTTTAGAAAAGTTACAATTATAAATCCTTTCTCTGTTCCTTTGAGATTTATTTTCTACAACCAGAGACCTGGGAGCTGTTTCTTTGAAATGTTATCATCAAAAAGCATAGGGCCCCTGTGTCCTAGTCTTTGTGGGAGGGCTGGAAACTAACATCAGTAAGAGCCAGTTAGCGGACACAGATGGTCTAGCCTAATCACATTGACCAACTCCCCCACTCCAACTCCATCTCTTAAAATCTTTCAGCTCTCCCTTACATGCCCAGACATTTAAAAAGCCTCTCTTCCACCTTCTGTTTCTGCAGAGTTAACCTCAGTTTATACTGAAGTTTCTCTCCCCTATTGCAGCAGCCTGAATAAAATTCATCTTTCAGCCTTTGGTAAATGTCCAGCTCTGTTTTTCTGTGACAGTTTGAGTACGACTCACTTGTACCCAAGATGCTAAGCTGGCATGTGAAAGGAAGGAAATGGTAAAAACATCTCTGGGTGGGGTCAGGGGTTAGTGTGTTTTGTGCGATGGACATTCTGCAATTAATCTACGCCATTCTCTCATTCCTGATAAACATAAGGGCATAATTGCAAAACTACCTAGAGAGGAATTCAAGGCACATTTGTGAGAAAAGTTCCAAAAATAAATTTTTATTGCATAATTTCACATCCAGTTGAGAAGGTCAGACGATGAGTGTAGGTTGAGACACTGAATTCCAGTTATGGAACTGACAGCAGTGATGGGTGGCCCTACGGTTCAAACAATTCACACAGCAGCCACCCTCCTTGGCCATGTTGCCGATGGTTATTAGTGACCTGCACATGGGTGAGTCACATGCAGTAGGGTTTCTCAACCTCAGCACTGTTTGATTTGGGGTGGGCTAATTATTTGTTATGTGAGGCTGTCCTCTGCATCATAGAACATTATCAGCATCCCTGTCTCTACCTACTGCCTGCCAGGACCATCCCTCCTCTCCACTGGGATAAGGAAAGTGTCCCTAGAGATTGTCAGACATGACCTGGGGAGAAAAACCTGCCACTGTTTCACATCACTGGTCTACAGGCAATGTTTGGTTCCTCCCTGATTTGGGTTTATTTCCAAAATGTACAATCACGTTGTGATGAGCAGATTTGGGGGCTCCTTGAAAACATCCTTTGTGAGCAAACATGAGTTTGATTTGGCTTGGAGCAAAGTCTTTGCTCATGATGTTCTTTTTGTAATTGGTCGGTTAAACGAGTTTGCTTTTAGGCCTTGCCAACATGCCCACATGCTGGTGTGTGTGTGTGTGTGTGTGTGTGTGTGTGTGTGTGTGTGTGGCATGCGCACGTGAGCATCATGTATTCTACAGCTCCACGTAGACCATGGGGATAGAGAGGTTTCTCCCACACAGGAGCTCTGTTGGTGACTATTATCCCAAGTTCTACTTTTTCTGGCATTTCACTGTAAATGCTTGGATATTATTTCCCCACCTCTCTTTCATCCCTACACAAATCCCAGGATTCTTTTCTTTCAAGATGAGAGTCCTGAATGTAGGACTCCTTGATTGGCATTCTGCCTCCCCAACCTGACTCTTGTGGGATCTCCCTCCCTCCCTGCCCAATACCCAAGTGATCAGATGTCACTTAGAACTGCTTGTTTGCTTTTTGATTTTTCTTTTCAGAAATTCATGCCCATGTGTCTGAAATAAGAATGTTGCTCTTCTCAGGAACAATAAGAGGGGCTGGTCTCTGTCACAGGATTCTCATCCTGTCTTGTGGCTTGACAAGTGGTTACTGTAGGGAAGTGGAGACTCACCCCAGTAGAAGTACAGGTGCTGCTTTTCATAGTTGATGTACTTGATTTTCTTCTTGCCATACTGAATGGAGAGAGAATAAAACTAAAATAAGAGACAACATTTCTGGCTATCACACTCAAGGACACTTGTGTGCGCGTGTGTGTGTGTGTGTGTGTGTGTGTGTGTTTGTGAAATTTCTGTGGAAAGAGCCATAGTGTTCATTTTCTGTCATACCTGAGAAGAACCAGAATTGGCATAGGAGTCAATATTGTGACATTTTTTTTTCTTTAATTGGGAAATTCTTACATAGATGGATTATTCTATTTTACTATGGAGATTGTGATCACTAATTTTTTTTTAAATTCTCATGAAAATTAGTTGGGAAAATTTTCTCCTTAGGTAGAGTAACATTCTACTGAAAAAGGACATTTCTGATGAGTTTTTCTAGCTCTTCTTTGACTGCAATGTTTAGTATTCTGCTTAAGCTCAGGATCCATCTCCATTATTTCATCAAATGGACATTCATTAAATGATCACATGGTCAAAGATATAGACATGGCTCTTCTTATGTATCCCTTCTTCCTCTTTTGTATTCTCATTGTGGATCTCACACTGTGATTTACTATTTGTAAGATATTATGGTAGTGTATACACATAATATTTATTAGACATTTTATATATTGTTATGGTTTGAATGTCAGGTGTCCACCAATATCTCATGTGTGAGATAATGCAAGAAGGTTCGGAGGAGAAATGATTGGGTTGTGAGAGTCTTAACCCAATCAATGAACTAATCCCCTGATAGGGATGAACTGAGTGGTAACTAAAGTGATAGAGTGTGGGAATTAAGGCATGGCTTGCTGTATCTGGAGAGTGGAGTCTCTCTGTGCTTCCTGTTTGTCATCTGAGCTGCTTCCTTCTACCATACTTGTCTGCCATGATGTTCTACCTTACCTTGAGCCCCAAGGAATGGAGTTGGCCTTCTATGGTCTAAGACCTCCAAAACTGTGAGCCCCCAAATAAACTTTTCCTCCTCTAAAGTTGTTCTTTAAGTCACAGCAGTGAAAAAAGCTGACTAAAACAGAAATCATTATTCATTTTATATATATCACATAATATTAAAATGCCTCACTGCTGAGAATTGGGTTCATATTCTAGAATTCCCTTTGGTTAGTTTGGCCTGTACTCGGGACACAAAATGAAATACTTTGAGAGAAGGATAGAAGTAATGGTTGAACCTTTAGTACTTATGAACACTCAATAAAGGAGTGAATAAATGAATGAATGATCACTCAGACCCATTCTACATTTTTTTCTAGGTCCATTCAGTTACAACAAGGGCGTTGGACTCTTATTTCCTCACTGGGAATCTTCCTTGCTATGTAGACGTCTTCCTGTATTTGGTCCTTCCACCTCCTAAAACTTTCACAAATCCAAAGGAGTATGAGATATAATAATGGCAATTTGAAGTTACTCTCGAACCTTAGAATATCTACGTAGTGAGAGACAAGGAATAGGCACTAGGTGGAAATGTTTGGGAGCTGGCAGCCTAGGTGAGTAGGCACTACCCTGAAGGAGCATCCCACATCTTGCAGGACATGAGCACAAGGCATAGAAGACTCAATCAATACTTGTTAAGAAATTGATGTTTGAAGAGAGTTGTAGAGAGAAAAAGCTCAGGACTCATTAGAAGGGTTTTGATGTGAAACCACTAAACTTCAGAGTTTGAATAATTTTAAGTGATGTTTTGCATAGTGGTTTTAAAATCATAGTGTATAGAACTGACTCTAAGTACTTAGGGATGAGTTCCAAAGGCAGATGGAGAAGTTGGAGGGATCATCTTGGTCACCTGTGAAAAGGCCTATGTGCACTGCATGTGGCTCTACAGAAGCTCTTTTGGAGAGGTTTATGCTGCTTCATGAACATCAATGAGACAAACCTCCTTGCTCTGTGGGGACTGTTAGGTCAATCAACACATCATTTTTCTAGTGCAAGCTCATAAACCTCAGGAAAGGCTAACTTGTTTATGCAGCCATTGTCCAAAACAACTGATTTGCGATAACTGCCAAATAAGTTTTTAAAATACAAACATAATATATCCATTTCAGCTGGGGCAAAGGGTGAGTCTACCAAATCTGGGAAAACCTATTTTCAAAAAGTTGCACAAAATTTTTCATTTATGTACTAGATAGGTCCAAGCAACAATTGACAGAGCTCTATTCTTATTTTTTAACAATCCTATTTTTTTTCTAGCAGGAGATAGCAATCTCTAAGTATCCAACTCTCAGTATCCATTGTTCCCCTTGAGGAGAGATACCCACCGTGATGGTCCTTCTATCTCCATTGTTTAGGGATGACTCTCTCCAACAACATCTGGTAATTTAAATAGCCTTTTGTGTGACAGTTTTAAGTTGAGGTTTTGAAAATATCAATAATGGAGAAATTCTAGAGATAACTTATTCCTTTGTTTTTGCTTAAGGAGTCCAAATCAGGGATGGAATCTCAGTATCTTACAAGGCATTTCAGCTATGTGGTTCATGTCTAAATGCACCAAAATGAACATGAACTAAGAATATCAGCACATTTTCTTCTAACTGGGCTAGATTCATTGAGATAACTGGATGTTTAGATGCTTATGGTCTGGTACGTATTGAATGTTCTGACCTCTCTGTATTGTCCCTAAACTTCAAAGAGTCAGGCCAGCCTCAGTCATCTACTTTCTAACATGATTTATGTTGCCTCAGAGGGAGTGATAAGCACTGGGTAGGGACCCGTGTGTCATTGGAATTGCTCAAGCTAGGTGATGCAGGTTATCATATTTCCTGCTGTGGGAGGTTAGACTGGATGATCTTTCGGGTCACAAAGTCATAAACCCAGATTTAGTTATTTGAAATCTATGTCCTGGACCTAAAAGGAGATGCTCTTTGATGGCATGTGAGGCCAAAACTTTCAGCTCCATCTTTCCGTGACTAGCACGAAAGCCTTTCTAGGAACCACTTCCAGGAACATTTCTCTGGTGCCTGGAAAAATAGTTAAACAAACCTTGACGGGCTGTGAATCTCCAAGCAGAAAAAGCGGGCCCATGTCAATATCTGGATCTTTGGGGTAGATGTTTGGTTTTACATGATGTTGGAAGTGTCGGTAGTTCCACCAGTTTGCTGACAGGCCCTAAGGAGAAGAGAAGGCTCATTAGCTAAAATAATTATCTCCTGAAATACCCTTCACCATGACAGTTTTCTGCATGAATCTTCAAGGTCAAAATAAGGTGTTTGATTTTCTTGAGCTTTCTCCACTGCTGGGTCACAGGATGAATCATTGGATAAAAGTTCTCATAGCTTATTAGGCAATCATCCTCTGATCCAGGAATACAACTTCAGGCTAAAATAACTCCCAATAATGACAATAATAATAATAATAATAATAATAATAATAATAATTTTCCATCTTTCTCTTATTTGATCTTCATTTAAAGAAATTTTGGTAGACGATGGAACAGAGAGTATTATTTCTGTTTTGCATATAAAGAAACCTCAGCTCCAAGACTAATTACTTCTGGGGAAAAAGTGGCCCCAGGAATCCTACTTCAATGAATATTTCAAAGAATCGTGGATCTGAAGTGATGTCCTTGGGGAGCTTGGCTCAGATCATTGCATGTCCCGGCTTCAATGCTCTTATATAAAAATAAATGAGAATAAAAATATTTTAGCTAGTGCCAAGCCTGAATCACCTCTGATTGAGTTGTTTATGACTTCCTCTCTCTCTCGCTGAAAGTTAGGAAGTTTTAATAGCAAAGATTTGGAAGCATATCAAGCTAGTTTCATATGCTAGATGTATAAAACGCTGTGTGGTTTGGGCAAATCACTCTTCCTGTTTGAGGCCCAAATGCATCTCCAATAAATACAGAATAATGACATCTACCTCAGCAGGTGGCTCAGGGAGATAGGAAGTGCTGCCTGCAAGTGTTCGCACACCGACACAGGCAATTTCCCTTCATTTATGCTAATCATTTGCAGAATAATAAGAAGCAGTTTCCTTACTGCAGATTTGCCTTTCCTTAACAACTAGTTGATACATGTTCTAGATCTGTCCTGCCCAAGATACTAGTCATCAGCTATGTGTGGCCAGTTGAATTAAGATGAGTTGCAAATGTAAAATACATTCTGGATTTTAGAGATTCAGTATAGAAAAGAGGAATATAGGATACATCATTAATTTTTATTTTGGTTGTATTTTAAAATGATAACATTGTAAATACCTGAACACTAATAATGTCATCTTTTTTTTTTAAGAATTTTTTTAATAGTTATTTTTTAGTTTTCGGCGGACACAACATCTTTGTTTGTATGCGGTGCTGAGGATCGAACCCGGGCCGCACACATGCCAGGCAAGCGCGCTACCACTTGAGCCACATCCCCAGCCCAATAATGTCATCTTTTAAATGTGATTATTAGAAAATTTAAAATGACACCTATTAATGTGGTTTATTTGTATTTCTGTTGGAGAATGCTGGTCTAGGTACCATACATCTGTGGTATAGGGAACAGGCATGTTTGGAAGCCTGTAAACATTAGCACTGTCTTTCCATAGGCCATAGAGTTAGCAATCCCCCCACCCACCCTCACCAATAGGAATGCAGTTCTCTTGTCTTCTCTAATACTCCCTAACATCCTTATAGAGGATATCTCCCTTTAGCCTAGATATTTCTGCTCTGTCCCATGCCCAAATGAAAAATCACTTACCAAATATGTCCTCTTAGATATCCTGTAGTGTCTCAAACCCTATGTGTCCCAAATTAGACCCACCACCTTCTATTTCCCCTCTTGGGGTCCACTGCCTTCTGAACTTCTGTCATCAAATTGCCTATGACCCATTGCTCTTACAATTAATTGTACATTTGCTCATTTATTAACTCACTTGCTATTTACTTTGAAGTATGCCTGTGCCGAATACTAAGCCAGACATTTGCAATATCAAGATAAACAGGATAAAATGGGGTTCCCAGACCAAGAAAAATATCACCTAATGGGAACAGTAAACAACAAGAGCAGTGTGATAAGAACGTCTCTCTTTTTAATTAAGTCCTCCCACAGCCAACATTTTGGCCTCTTCCATTGGCTGTCTGTACTCTTTTAGCTGATGTCTGGCTGTGGAAATTGGTAATATGGGAGGCATGTTTTGATTGGCAGAAGATCGAGAGTGGATCTCAACAGCACAGGAATGTAGAACTTAGGACGGAAGCCAGGATAAGGTTGGGTGTGATCCACACAACTGGTTCCTCTTGGGCCCCTCTGTCTGGAAAATGCTCTCTGGAGACAAGGAAGAGCACCTCATAGGCAAGTGGGGAGGTTACTGGGAAGATTATAGAAAGAGCATGCTTGACACTCCCTTTCCCCAGGTACCAAGTGTTTGGGAAGTAGTCATGGAAAACAGTGTAAGCCAGCTATTCTAGGGAGGACTAATTTCAAATATTCTGCCCCATTATTCCTATAAAAATATTTGATTCTTATTATTCTCAACATGTACCTATAGGGGCTTGAAAAATATACTATGGGGAGTCCATTTGGAGTTTACAGCTTGAGTACCTCTTTTCAAAGTGTTTAGGGCCAGCAGTGTTCTAAATTTCAATTTTTAAAATATTTTAAAATATTTTCATATTCATAAAAAGATATCTTAGAGGTGAGACCCAAATCTAAACATTAATTCATTTAAGCTTCATATGTACCTATACACATAGCATGCACAAAATATTTTAAATAATTATTTTTTTTGCGTGAAACAAGTTTTTATGGTGTGAAAATTTCCATTGTGGCAACAAATTGGTGCTCAAAAATTTTTGAATTTTGGAGAATTCTGGATTTTCCAGTTAGGGGTGCTCAATCTGCATTGCACAAAAATCCAAAATAAGTGTATATATTTCATGGTTTATTTTCAGAAGAGCTCTTTTATTGTGATATACTACAAAATCCATAAAATATATGTTTTCACAGCCAATGAGTAGAAATCCCTAAGAATCTCAATATCTGTGCTTTTTCCAGGGCAGAAGAACTGACATTAAGTGGAGTTTTGATATTTGAAACTGTGATGCATGTAAAAGGCAGGGATGTTGTTGCTTATAATTTTCTTTGTCCTCTGCCTCCCGCCTACCCTTCCTCCCTACAGGTAATTTTCTCTTTGGCACATAGTTGAAACCTATATTCATTTTGTTGGTGAATCACTGGCTTTACCTGCAAAATGGCAGAGTACTCCTGATTCTCTTTCTGAGCCATTTCCTATTTCTAGTTCTGCTTGCAAGCCATCAAGGTTATATTCATTTCAACTAGTGCAAAATTATTTCTGAGGAAACAATATAGAAAGATCTGTGTACAAATTTAAACCAATGGGAAAGCATTGATTTTTTTAATAGTGCCAGCCAGGGTGGGGCTGATGGGAAATATTCCAAATACCAGCACCAAATCAACTGCCAATTACCTCTGGGGCAGATGAGTCTCTGACTCAGCACCAGGGAAGGGAGAGGAAATGAAAGGGCTCATGGCTTCAATCTTATGAAGACATAAGAGAAAACTTCTGCTTTTATTCTGTTGTAATTATTTCTGAGTGAATTCAGAAACATATCTATCTAACAGTGGCAAAATAGTATACCTACAGAAATCTTCTGATTAAGTGAAACTTATCACATAAAATGACAATTTTTTTTTCTGGACAGAAATATAAAACATGAATCTAAAAATCCAACTCTGTAATATGGATCAAAAATACAAATAATTTATTTACACATCACTCTGCTCAATGGGAAAGTCAATAGATAAGAAAGAGTAGGTAACTCCAAGTACCTTGCAGATCAAGATTGCTATGATTTATGGTTTACTTTCCTATCCTCTTAATACCATTACATTAAAATTTTTATTAATTATTCTGAGTCCTCATTTGGATTATGAAAAGATTGTTCCTAATATTAGTAACAAGTAAATATTACTAAGCATTTGCAGACACTATGATAGGCGTGACACAAGAGTATTGCATGTGATCTTAACAACATCTCTAACCATCAAATCTATCATCTATCCTCATTTCACAGTTGAAGAACTGAAGTTCAAATGCAGAACATAATCTTTCCAAGATGACCAATGAACTCACTAGCTGATTTCCCATGGAAGGCAGTTCTGTTGTTAGAGAAGATGTCAGTCTTGGCTGCAAGTTGGATTCAACAAAGAAGCTTTCAAAAATATAAATGATGTCCAGACCCCACCACAGATAAACTTAATCAGAACATCTATGATGGTGCCTAGGCATTGGTGTTTTTTTTTTTTAAAGAAGACCTCTTCTGGGTGCCTCTGAATAGCCAGGATTAAAAAGCACAGCAGTGGAACCTCTACTATTTAATATTGTGCCACAAATGTTCTCACATCCCAGGCTGTGGACGTTCACTTAAATAGTTAATTTTTTTGAAGATCCACCTCAACTGAAAATAAGGGTGCTACAAGCCCCACCTCGAGAGAATTACGTGAGACAACAGCCTGAAGGGGATGCTTCTGAACCTGATACCTGGCCGACTCACGTCTGATGTGCCTTCCCATCTGCCCTCCCTTATGATTTACTCTCCCAGTTCCTACTCCTGCTCCCTGTGAGCTGGCTCCAGAAGCTTCTTCACCCTCTTATTAGCTGGCCACTTCCAGGCTGCTCCAAGCTGGGGAACTAGACAGCCAGGTTTTTTATTAGCCTGTGTTAGGAAGGAACACAGGCTCAGAGTCAGTGCTTCTGGAATTTTCCTAAGAGGAACTGTCTTAAAATCACAAATTTGATTTAGTGAAAGATTCAGAGGCTTTTGCCTGTCTTTGGGGCCAGATTACATCGTCACCCAATCCTAGAAAGTTATAGAAAAGAGGAGATCTAGCTTAACTCCTACTATTACAGATGGAAACACCGAGGGCTAGAGAGGGAACAAGATTTAACCAAGGTCACATAATGAACAGCATCAGGGCTGGGGCTGAAGGCTACTCTTTCCAGTCTTTTTGCTTTGATATTTTCTTCTGCACTCACTTGTTCATTCATTCAAAAATGCTCATTGAAGGCTTACAGTGTGCCAGGAACTCAGGGAACCTGTTTCTTGGAGCCTACGTTGGGGGGATAGGACTGGTTGCCATCACCACTACTTGCTTTTTCCAGAAGCCTGGGTTCTGCATCCCTCCTCTGGAACAAGCTGTCTGACCTTTCCTGACTATTCTTTCTCTTCATTTTTATATGTCTCCTGTGTTATTTCCTTTATTTCTTAAGTGCCTTCCAGGGTGAATCAGGCCTGCTGAATTCCCCTAGTTCCCAGCAAAACAAAATTTCACTTCCTTTCTAAGAGTATTCCCATTTATGATTTTACAGCACATCTCTTCATTTTTAAAGACACAGACTTTCTTGTGGGTGGTGATTCCTTAAGGCAATGGCGTGCTGGGTTTTTAGATGAATAGCCTTTTAGGCTAATGAAAAATGTAAGAGCTTCTTAAATAAAAATCAGAATTTTCTTCCTGACATTTAAAAATCAAGTGTAGCACATATTTTATAACATTATATTTCAAATCAATGTGTATAATATACATTATTATTACATTTACACTCATTTAAGGGGCTTTGCTGACATGAGCATGGTCAAGCCTGGAAACTGTTGCTTTAGGAAATGATGCTCAAGGCTCCCCCAGCATCCTTCCTGACACCCTTTACCTTGAGATGACACATCACAAACTTGTGCATCAGGTGGTTCCACTTGGACTTCTTAAACATGGAAAGGTGTCCTATGTCATGCTGCAGAAATGAACTCTGAGCCTAGGAGAGACAGAGTTGTTAGAGAAGTTGGGAAGTCCAGAGGAATCTGAAGAGCCCACTCGTACCTTTGTGAGCCTGAGAATGGGTGGTGGGGGGCCCTTGTCTGACCTCCATTCAAGTGAGTTTCTGAGTCTCACACATCTCACATTCAACCCCCCATCCTTTTATGCAAATGGTTCTGTCAGCTTGGAAGGCTTTTGTTATCACAAAGTCTTCCAGTGAGGTGTGGAAAGACCGTGGACTTTGCATCAGACAAACTTTTGTTCTTTATGACTCACCAGTTGTATGACTCTGGGCAAGTTACTCCAAAGCTCTCACCCTCAGTTACTTATCTGATACAAGGTGATAATAATACCTAACACAGGGAGCTGTTGTATAATTTACATAGTATATAGGCTAAGCGCAAAACAGATATTTATTTCCTTTCTTGTTTCCAAAAGTTGCTTTCCAAATAATAAAGCAAATTGTCCTTTCAAAAAAAAATGGACAGAAAAATTTTGAAATCTATAAATACGTTACTGTTGATTCTCTACAAAACCTTCCCTGTTATTCCAATGAGAACTAAATGTCCCTTTCTGTTCCAACAGCGCATGCTTGTTCCTCCTGCTGGCATTCATTCCTCTCTGCCCTGCACTATGTTCAGCAGATGATTTATTACCCATTTTGGATGACACCTTTCTCGGGGACAGGAAGCCTGTGAATTTCTCTCCATATCCATACAGTCTTGTGCCCATAGGAGAAAATTCATCCCTTATTCAACAAGGATTTAACAAATGCCCAGCTATACATGATGCAGCTTGAGAGCATTATGTTAATAAGCCAAACTCAGAAGGTCAAGGATAATTTTTTTTCTCTCATATGTCGAAGCTAGAGAAGAAAAAGGAAAGGAAAGGGGAGGTGAATCTCATGAAAATCAAAGGAGATCAGTAGAATAGAGGACCAGGGGGTGAGTGGAGGGGAGATAGTGGAGATGTACAGGGGAGTGATATGGAAGAAATTATACTGTGACATTGTATGCTTGTACAAATACATAACAACAAATCCCACCATTATGGACAGCTATAATGCATGGATAGGTACACACACATGTGCCCTGCTGAGCATCAGTTGTTATTTACAAAGGAACTCAAGTTTTTATTGTTACTTAAAAAGATTTCTGCTCTTGAACAATTCATGGTCTCATGCAGTAATAAATGGTGGCAGATTAATAAATGAAAGACGTGATGAGTATTATATGACCATAGACAGAACTTTAGTTGATAAAATTGGGGGAAAAGAACAGATGAACAGTAGCAATCGTCCTTAACCAAAGCTTTACTATATGCTGGATGCTGTGCTGGGTAGTTTTACACATTAGCTTGTTTAGTCCACCTTAGAATAATTCCAAATTTATTATTATCCTCATTTTACATATGTAGGAACTGGGGCCCAAAGTCATTTAGTAACTTGCAGACAAGTCTAACCTTGAGGAGGAACTTGCCTAGAAGTGTAGGCTGCTGCTGACACTAATCTAAAGAGGGAGGAAGAAATCCAACCTTTTCCAAGGCCACCATCTAGGCTCAGGACACCGGCTTACCTGAGACACTGTGAGAAGAAAGGAGATGAACAATGTGACAGTCCATCCATTGCCAAAATGACACAGTATCAGCCATGCCAGGACTTCCAAAATCAAGATCTGGATGAGGTGGAGAGAGAAGAACCACAGGTTGGCCCTGAACATGTTCGAAGCTTCCAACGTCCTGCGCAGTTCTTGGAAATCTTCCACCAGCTGGGACTGTGAAATAAATATTGAAGGGAGGAATTAATTCCTTCAGGGGAAAGGGAACACAGAGCACAAGTAATAATTGGTTCTATTAATTTAGTAATAAAATTACTTCATGAATAGAATTTTATATACAGGGATAAAATTAAATGCCCAGAAATTAAACAAAAGCCAGAGAACAGACAAATGAAATCTCTGAAAAAAAGGTGATGATTGCTATTTCTTTCTGGAGATAAGAATGAAGAGTGACATGTGAACTGTCCAATAGTTAAGGAGCTCAGTCAAAGTAATTATGTGGGGACAGGGATGGCGAAGGAGAGCGCATTGAGAGATGTGTATGCCTGGTAGCTGTTTGTGAAACACAGTATTATCTCAGGTGTGGACTGAAATCTGTTTTTGTTGTTTTGGGGATCTGGGCTGTCTATGTGAATCTGTATTACTGTAGCTACTTCTCTAACTATCTGTATTACTGTAGTTAAGTTTCCAAAATGCTTTCCCTGTCATTAATTATTTAATGTGCTCAAAGGACTCTTTCATAGAAGAGGTGAGCATAGAACAGTCTAGTTAGCTTAAATGAGCTCCAAGGGTAAATTCCCTGAGAGCCTCTCACTGGATACCCAACACAGGGTTACCTTTGGCACGGTGTGTCTGCTGGTTAACGTGGTCCTGTACAAGTGTACCATGCAGGTGCGTGTGTGTGCTGGTGTACAATACTAGCATTGGTTTGCAAGTTTGACACATGGTACACAGGAGGATGCAAGGGTTGGGAAGAACTATCATTTAGGTTATCGACTCCAGGAGGGTTGAAACTAGGACAGTTGAGAAAGTGAGGGTATGAGAAAAAATAGCACAGCTGTACAGATGTTAAAAAAAAAAAAAAGAAAGAAAGAAATTAGAAATGAGAAGGGCTGTGAAAGTAATTCTAGAAGTCAAAATTCTCATTTCAAAATGCACTGGTTTACAACATTTGAAGGGCATACTGCCTGCCAAAAGTCCGGGTAAGGTCATCTCCCAGGCCTCCACCAACCCGGGGATTCTGGCATCCGTAGATAATTGTAATAATTGTCTAATGGCAATCTGTCATCATCTCTGGGATAACTCTCAGCCTGGTCATATTTTCCACCCATTGATTGTACAGAATAGAGGGTTGTCAAAATCCAGAAGAGTAACTGGCTTGGAATCACCAGCAAGTCCATGACAGATGCTGGACTTTAGCCCACACCCAGTTTCACGCTCAGGCTCCAACTTCCTGTAGAGAGCCACATTGATGTACTCAAGGAAATTTATGGTGGCCCTTCGCCTACGGAGACTAACACTGCTTTAGATAATGGCTATCTTCTGGCTCTCAGAAACTGGTGGAGTTTTATTTTCCTTACATGTTTTTGTTTGGAATAATGATTTAATTTTGCATCATCTTTCCTTTTCAACCTAGGGCCACCCACCCCAAATGATGGGCACATACCTGGAAGCTTGCAAATCATTAACACCATCATTGAGCTTGAGACACTGAAAATATCTAAAATTTATTGAGCACTTACTATGTCCCAAACACGGTTCTAAGTTCTTTGAATGATATTACATCTTTCAATCATTTTCCTAATAACTCTTATGTGATTGGTGCTATGATTGGTGCTGTTTTACAGAGAGAGAGAGAGAGAGACATTGAACCACAGAGAGGGGTGGAAGATGAGTTCAGGCTGTCCACCCTCAGAGACCAATCTCCTAAAATGAGCCATGGCCTTACAGAGTGAACCTAAGTGTTAGTCTCAGATTTGTTCATAACCAGTCCTGCATTCTGAGATCAGTCCTGCTCCTTTGGCGGGGGGGGGGGGGGGGGGGGGAGTCTGTCTCCTTGTTTCCTAAGGAGGGAATAAAATCCTTACTCCCTCTGTTTCACAGTAGTATTTGACTCTGGGCAAATAAAAAAAATTAAGAATTAAACAAATGAAGTTTTAGTCTTATAGAGACCTTGTCCCTTAGAAAACAGTATAGTGCAACTGGTATAGTCAAGTATTGAGGAAAGCATGGCATCCATCCTTGGGTATACTGAAGATATTTGGGGTCAGAGAATAGTGATTTAGAGTACCAGTTCTTTGGTGAAATAGCTGAGGAACTTTCAGGAAGAAATTTATTCTCCATGAATGCTAATTTCCCTGAATGTCAAAAAGGCAATAGTTTTAGTATATTTTTATATTTTCATTTAACAGCTATTTATGGAGTTTCTACTACATGTCTGATCCTGTGCAGATGAGTCTGAAGGACACAGGGATAAGTGATACAGACATTTTCTTTGCTCTCATGGAATTTAGTTTAGCAGGGGATGTAGTCACGGACACCAAACACATAATTGCAAACAGTCACTGGAAAAAAGGTGTAAGCTGCCTGGCCTGAGGTGGCGCTTAGAGACAGAATGAGTACGGAATGCAGGGCCAAAGTTCCATTTCTTGTCTTCACAGAGGTTTAAGAGCTCTGAGCTCTCAAGGGGATAAATCTTCTTTGAAATATGAAGAATCCACTAATCCATAATACTCCCCCCTTATCCATGGTTTCATTTTCTTTGGTCAAAAAAAATATTAAATAGAAAATCCCAGAAATAAACAATCCATCAGCTTTAAATTGTGCACTGTTCTGAAAAACATGACGATATCTCCACCTTCCTGCTGCATCCTGCTCAGAACAGGAATGCTCTATACACTTCCCTCCTGTTAGTCACTTAGTCGCCATCTTGGCTACCACATCTACTGTCATGCCCTTTCACGACTGGTATATAGGGTTCAATACTATCCAAAGTTTAAGCATCCACCAGGGGCCTTGGAATGTTTCCCCTGTAGATAGGGGGAACTACTGCACTCTATTGTGGGCTCACCCAGGCACAGCAATTGGTTTCTCATAGAAAACAGTAAATTGGCCTCTATGGCTTGTTTCCATCCTTCCATGTACTTGTATCCTGAGACTCACGTTTTTGTTTCTCTCCTGGTTGGGCTCTCCTGGAGCAAGCTCTCCAATAAGCAACGGCTTCAGGTACAGCTTCACAATGTCAAGCTCCAGGTGCATGGCCCTGAAGGCATCCTGTAAATCAGAGAGGCCAGTTAGAAGCTCAAAAGACACATGTTTATTCATAGATCAGCCCTCCTCCTCACCCAACCTAGAAATGAGCATAGAATCCATTACAGAACATTCACTTTTAAGTCCAGGTTGATGGTGCAAATTGATGGATCCAAATTACACTTGAGAACCTTCTGAAAAGGCATAGTGCTGGAGACCCCACTATTCTATGCATCGTTTTTCTAGGCATGACCAGTATAACCAGGCTCTCCAGAAGCACTGATGGCAACACTGTTTATTTTACTGAACATCAGAAGAAGCAGTTGTTTGGGTTTATTGTCCATGATGGAACTTTCAAGTCCAGCATCAGGTTTCTGGTGATAGTTGTTTACACTATCTGAAGCATGTAGCAGCCAAGGTAGTGGCATAGCTGCCAAGGTCAGCTAATGCTACCATATCTCCTGTTGAGGGTTCCTTTGTGGTTCTTGTCTGGGGCCCAGAAGAATTAGGCTCCTTGAATTAGTTATTTTCAGAGAAGGGCTGAATTTAGTTTAAAATCATGGGAAAACATTCCTTGAGCTCTGGGTTATCTACACTCTTGGTTAAATGCTTGACACTGGAAGACTCCAATCACTCTATTTAAAATGTTGTTGTTAAGTAGCAACCATATGACTTTGAGAAGCAGTGGATCTCTATAGCCTATTTAAGCAAGGGATACTTTTTCCTCTCAAGGATTTGTTCAGTCTTTTTTTTTTTTTTAAGGATTCCACAGAAGGGAGATGCTGAACTTTTGTTCTTATGGCTTTGGGATAGGAATGACTAAAAATGAAGAAATATAATCAAAGTTATAACCTGAATGAGTGGAAGCCATGTAAGTACTCTGTGTGGCCTTGCACAGCACTGACTTAGAATGTGGGCTTCCTGCACCTAAAATATGGCCTTGACACTTAATAGCTGTGTAACTACGGACAATTCTGCTGACTTGGTTTTTTATTCTTTTCCCTAAATGGGGGTGATGATAGTCCCTCAATTCCCCAAAGCTCTGCACTGCCCAATTAAGCTTCTGCACATTTCTTATTACCCTCTTAGGAAATGATGGGTTATTTTATCTCAAAGATGGTTTTAAATTTTCACATTCTAGATCCTAAAGCTTAGTTCCCCCTAACCAGGAAAAGAGTGATTCAGTGGTTAAGAAAGTGATTGATGTATCTCATGGTGATCCATACTGAAAAAAAAATCATGTTCTTCTTGCTGCTTCAGAATAAGTTTAGAACAGAAAACATCCTGATGGGTTAAGGTCAAAGTACAGAAGAGTGAAATCTATTGCAATTTCATCTTCCAGTGTGCAGATAATATTTTTTTCTGATCCCCATTAAGGCTCATAGGTCAATGTTTCGACAATAGTTACTGAGGAGTCACAGTTTTCCAGAACATTAAAGCAACAGTCTGCTACCGTGGAGCTTTTTGTACATAAATAAGACAATGCAAAAAGGAGTTTAGGTAGTCTTAGAATATTCAATAATTTTCTAACAGAATCCAGATGCTGAGTAAGTTGTGAAATCTCTTCTTGAAAGTCCGCAAGAACAGGTTCAGTTACCAACATTCTTGGGCGAGTATGTTCTTGTTGAAGGAACGAGGGGGAGTAAAGGAAAGGAAAGGGGGATTGTGCCAGTGTTTGCAGAGTGTATCCTGTATACAAGGGGCTCTGAAGGCTTCTCATTGCTGTAGCCTTACTTCTGTGAGGTTCCTCCCATTGCTTCTGTTACACAGAGAGGCTAAATCTCAGAGGGGAGAAACGTCTTGCTCCCAAAAGCCAGCCAATAGCAGCGTCAGGATTTGAATTCAGGGCCATGCGACTGTGAAGCCATGAAGCCATAAAGATCCATGCCTGTCTTGATATGTATAATTCTTTCTCCGAAGGGCACGATGCTAGATTGTTTTGAGGTGATACTAAAATCAATTTAGATCTGCTGGGAAGATGGTAATGGTGTTCCTCTACTGCAGGTTTCAGTCCCATAAAGTGCATTGCCTATGGCTCCAGGCTGCCTCCCTATTCTTGCCTTCCTCTATACCTTCCATGTGCCATCTTCTCTACTGGAGCCTTCTCATTCAACAGCATTCTATGCTCTTCCATAGGATCGAAGATTTACACATACGATTCCCTTTTCCTTGACTTCCATTTTGCATTTTCCCTACAGTTAAGTCTCCTCCGCATCCTTCAAGACCCATATGAAGTCAATCAGGAAAGTCATTCATGATCACTGTGGGCGTCATGACGCTGTTCCTGAAGGTATTCCAACTACATTGGAAATGAAACTGTGCACCTGCCTCTTCTTTAGTGATTTGTGAGTTTTTGAAACTGAGAATATGTACTGTTACTGATCAATATGTACCTAATAGCCTCACTGTGCCTGGGATGTGGCATGTGATGAATGCATGTCCGATGGACAGGGGAAAAGGGTGAGTGAGTGAATAGATAGAGACAGCAGTTCTAGAATGAGGAATCGGGATGAATCAAGTATTGCACTCCAAGGCTGCAGGTCTCTCTCTCACCTCAGTATTGCTATTTTCTGACACTTCTGTAAGTCTTGGTTTCATCTGTTCGCCTTTGACTCCCTTCTCAGTCATTCATTTTCACTCATGTTGCCCATAAACTTTTTAGTTTAGATCATCTTGAAAGTGATTATTTCTAAAATAGTACCAACATGGGAAAGATGTGATATATTATTTGCTTTTACAAATGCCTTGGAAAGAATGTTAAATTTTTGCTATTATTTGGCGGCGGAGGGAGTGATGTACTTTACTACATCATCCCTTGTCAAAGAGGACAGTAGGAGAAGTTCACCCTACCTTTCAATCTGTGCATTCTTCTGGAATTCCTATTCTGGAGGCCACCAGTAGGTTTCCAAACCACATACCCATAGGTGGATCAAGACTCTGTTACTTATTCACAAAATATTATAAGTCAGGTCTCCTAAATATCCTTCCCACCTAACCCTCCTCTCCACTCCTGTTGTCAATGCTTTTTCTGGGCCTTGAACATGTTCCCTGGGCTCCCTCCTGGTCTTCCTTCCTTTTGACTGGCCCTTTTTACTTCATCCTCTAATAGCCAGGTTGATCTTATGGAGACAGCATCTTCTCATGGCCCATTTCCATCCATTAGAATTTGGACTTCCTTTTCTCTCTCTCCTCTTACCTCTGTGTATAACTACAAGATGATTCAAATGAGAATCAGATTATAACATTTGGACTGCCCAGGAAAGTTGAAATCACAGATTCTCACTTTCCATTTACTAACAGCTTAGAAGTGATGTCTGATTTATTGTTCTGACAAGTGTGAGCAGGGAAGCTGTGCCCAAGCACCACTGTTGGTAGTGGAAGGAGGTGCTAAGCAGTGAGGGGAACAGACAAATGCCTTAGGTTGGCGGTCAAGGTTCTTTGTCTCCCTCCTTCTGTCTCTTTCTTCCCTACCTCTTCTCTAGCTTCATCTTCTCTCCATCTTCTCCTCTTCTCATCATCACATAAGGATAGTTCACTGACATTAACTGAGCACATACTTTTGGCTAAAATTGTGCTAAGGAAAGGAAGTGGCTAGTGTGGCATGCCCCTGCTGTTTGGATGCTTGCTCACGACATGAGTTATGTCTGCACGCCTCCCCTGGGCTCACCTTTACTTCCCTTATGCCTCAGCCTCGTTTCCATGGGCTCCGCTCATACCAAACCCCATGGAATTCTCTCCCTTGGAATTGCACGCAACTCTACGTTTTTCAACTTAAGAGTCACCCAGATTATTGAAACAGACTTTTTCCTTATATTTTTTAAGCTTTAGTCATCCTTTCCTTGTTGAGTTCATCTTTGACTCCCACAAGAAAGAACTGGAGTTTCTCAGTGTCCCTTCTAGAGTGCGATGTCCAGAGATGAGGAGTGGAATGACCAGAATTCAGGATAATAAACCTGCTCTCTTTGTTCCAAACCAGCTGCCTCCACACCCATTACAAGACTGCTTTTACGTTTTTCATGGAGGTTGGTGTGTACTGTTGTCTTATATACAATTTATGGCTGCCCCATTATTCATATGTAGGTCTTTCATCAAAATGCTTTGTAATCTTCATTTTACTGATTGCAAAATAGCTCACCATGTTGCAGTTATATGTAATACTTATAATAAATTCTCCTTGTTGGACTTAGAGAAGGTTTCTGGATATTCCTGGGTAGGCTTATATAAGTGAAAAGAACTGGGCCTAAACTCTAGCGCTTTGGCAATGATTTAAAAATCATACAACTGGAATCAGATAACTCATGTGCAATAATTGGAGCTTATGTGCAATTTTGTTTCATAGACTTTTTTGGGCAACATTCCTTGGAGAATATTAGAATCCCTCTTGGAAGAATGAAGTAATAATTAAATAAAGGAATTTTCATTTATTGAGTATTTAATCTGAGAACCCTAAGAAGCACTTTATTTTATCTCCACTGACTTTAAAATAAATAAGATAGGGCTGCAGATACAGCTTAGTTGGAAGAGTGCATGCTTCACATGCACAAGGCCCTGGGTTCAATCCCCAGCACCACAGAAAATAAATAAATAAATAAACAAATGAACAAACAAACTAAGATAAAGGTATTATCATTCCCATTTTCTAATTAAAGAAACCAAATCTCCAAAGTCTTAAGCAACCTCCTTAGGATCTTCCAAGTAATCGTGGAGTTTAGATGCAAACAAGTCCTGATTTCTTTCCAAACCTGTGCTTTCAACTATTAGACTGGACCCCTAACAAGGACTTTAGAACAACTGACTGCATGAATGAATGGATTAATGATCCATGGAACAGACCACTTGGGTATCATTATCCAAGGAAATCTCCTGTATAAATAAGAGAAAGGTACCCCATCTGGGGAAGTGCAGCCATAGGTCCAAGACTGGCACACACTGGGCCCCACTTGTCAGCCAAGGCACAACCTACAGACACCTCATATGTAACAGAGTGAACTTCTGACCACAGGTACCTCTGACTTGCTGCTTCTCCATCATATACCTTTCTGTTCCCAAATCAATTCAAACACAACATAATCAGCAGACCAAGTTGATAGCAAACAAACATAATAATTCCATTTTAGAATATAGATGCTGAGTATTATAACAATATAACCATAGCTATGGTTTACTCAACTTTTACCTAATGTCTTATATTATGCTACACACTGAACACACATTCATTTACTATAACCACATAGAGAGCGCCATTCTTACTTTGCAGACCATGAAACTGAGGCTCAGTAACTTTCCCAGGTTCACATAACTAATTCCAGTTTCCCTCCGAATAGCCAGCGAGTGCTGAAATTGTCGGGACTCTGCTGGCATCGTTAACTATTCTGGAGCCATTTTCCCTTGGAAAATCTTTTCTCTGAACATTTTTAGATTTATTTTCCTAAAGACTAAGGTACATGGCCGACTGACCATATGATTTTCTTCCTTGGCATATTTAAATCCTAATGGGCTATAGGATTTGTCCCTAAGGTTCTGGTGGTTACTATTATGTTAATCAATTCTTCTTCTTTGGCTAGAGTTGGATGCAGAGGCATCATGATTTGCTGACTCCAAGGGAATAAAGATCATTAGTAAATTATAAATGCATCATGGGCTGCGTCAAACTCAGTGAAGCTATCCATTATTTAAACATGGTTGGAAACCCATGTCCTTACCAACACATCCTTTGAGTTAATTCTGTGACTTGTGTTAGCAAACCTTCGTCCATATTTTCTCTGAATTGTGGGCAGTGGGGATGGGCTATAAAAGGGTATGTGGCCTTTGTTTCAATACTTATTTGTTTATCTTTCTCCTGTTATTCTCACTTTTTTTTCCCATCTCACTTTTTTCAATTCTCTACTCCAGATGTCTACACAGTGTGTATCTTCCCAGTGGACATGATACTCCCTTTCTTTGTCACAAACTTATACTCATTTTCTTAAGGAGAAGTTTGAACCTTGTTTAAAAAGTCATCAGATCTGACCAGAGTAGAATGGCAAGATAAGTTCAGAAAGACATTCATCTGACTGTAGATATTTGACTATTAGAACAAGACCTGAACAGAGCAGAGATGAGAAATTGGAGAAAAATTGAGATTTGAAGAAAATAGAGGTTGGTAGTATAAAAATGGAGATCTTCTATATTTTACAAAGTTGTCAGGTAGCACATATCATGTACATACTAGTGCTTAGCAAAATGATATCTCCAGTTGTGTGTTTTGAAACCAGTTGGAGAAGTTATATGCTAATTAGTGACATCAACAGGTGTAATAAAATAAAAAATCCCAGGTTTAAATTTCTGTTCTGTCATATGAGTTTTCTGACCTGGAATTAGTGGTTTTCCCCTCTAATCTTCTGTTTCTTCATCTGTACAATGGTGGAAAATAAGATTCTCAGTTGAGAGAAAACAAACAACCTTATAGAATATTTTAAAAGGATTCTTAAATGCACTTAAGAGTTTGGAAGACCTCCTTATCAATAAAGGGAAAATTTGTTTTTTAAAGAACCAAGTGTACGAGACTTTGTGGTTAAGCTTATCTCATTCCAAAATTTGGCACTATCAGTTGCTGGCTGTGCAACACATTTTTACCTCTTTGAACATCAACTTTCCCATCTGTAACATGGGAATAATATTCACCTTCCTTATGGGGAGGTTTAAGTGAGTTGGTGCATTTTAATGCATCCATAAAGTAGTTTGCATCATTTTTGTCATAGTAAATGAGTTCCTGGATGCAGTAGAGCTTTGCAAAACCTAGAAATCCAGGTAACGTTTTGATGCTCACTAAATTAACTGCTTTCTTTCTTTTAGACACTCCAATTATAGGAGTCTTAGAAGTATTTACTTAGGTGAAGATATTTTTTTCTAGATTTCACTCATTTATTTGTAACTTCTTATAAGATAGTGATTCCACTTCAAAACAAAGTAACAAACAAACAACAACAACAACAAAAACCAACCAAATAGCAACAAAAAACCAAAATAAAACACAACCCTAAGGACAAAACGAAATCCAGAATAAACAAGTACAGTATCCAGTATGTACATATGAGTTCATCCCAAACTGGAAGCAGATGACAGGTAGACCTTGATTCCTAATTTGCTTCCAATTTCTTGTCAGAGAGGAATCCTGAAAAATTGGTTTGGGAGGAGATGATCGGTGGCAGAGCCTGAACACGTAATTGAATGCTTTTAGGAAGAGAGCCAAGATCTCAATCACCCAGCAGCTTGGAGGCAGAGAGAGGGAGAGAGTGAAAGAGGGAGAGAAGGAGAGAGGGAGAGAGGCTTTGGAGTCTTGGAGTTTCTTACCGTGGCGTCTTCCCCAGCATAGTGGTTGAGGACCCGGTGCCCACCAGGATGCCTTTTGGCCCAGTCAGTAACATTATAAACTTTTCGATGGATTACCAGCCACTGGTCGTTCTCCTGATTGTGCCTCTGGATCTCTTGCCAGGTGTACCTGTTGAGACTTTCCCTGAGCCCATTGCTCTTGCCGTTCGCTTCCTGCTTTCCACAGCCATCCGTTTTCCCATTGGCTATTGGTTTCCCATTGGCCTGGTGCATCCCGTCTAGGTGCACTCGACACCTTCCTGCCAGGCTCCCTTTGTCCTCAAGCTTTTCTTCAACCTTCATGGCCATTAGATCCTTGGGATTATCTGGGTGTACTCCTAAACCCTCCAATCCTCTGCTTGAACCACAAAATGACTGCTTTTCTTCCCTTTCATTCCATTGAGGTATGATGCCTACTCGGAAAACTTCACAGCCTAGTTGCCCCTTCACAAATCTGATGGTGCGCCCCTTCCCAGCCGGTCCTTACTCTTGTCTGTTTTGAATCTTTTCTGCTCTGAGGGAGGCTAGGCTACCTTTCTCTCTTCACATTTCTCCCTGCTGGCTGGCCTCTGAGCACCATCCTCATTCATCCTTAAATGTCCCTGGGCAAAGAGCCTTAGCCAATGGCAGACGGGCAGAATGTTGAGTCCCGCCCCAGGGGGTGGGGCTAAACTCTAAGCAGTGATTCTCCTGCACTGTATCCGGGTGGGTTGGATTTTCCTGCTCTCTGACGTGCCTGTGGATGCAGACATTTATTTAGGTTTGTTAACTCGACATGTGGGCAAAAGCTTTCAAAATCTCCAGGGTGACACAATGTTTGGTGGACTTGGGAAATGTTCTTTTGACAGCTGTCATTTCAACTAAGGACTTTTAAATAATAGTGTAAAACTTTTTAAAAAGGTTTTATTTTATAATATATACATATTTAAAATAACAACTAAAACCCCCAATTTGCATAAACCAGTTTTTTCCTTCCTTTTCATTTCCCTTTGAAAATTACCTAAATCTTTCAACCCATTTGAAGGTAATAGCAAGGGATGTTTGCTAAAGCACATGATGGTTTACAAAGTCCCTGTCACATGTTTTAGCTCTTTTAATCCCACATCAATCTCTTGAGGGAGGTGGTGTTAGTGTCCCATTTTCAAACAAGAAAACAAGGTTCTGGAAGTCTCAGGTATCATGCCAGAATCACCCTGTGAATGAGAGCTAAACTGGTGAGTGAATTCAGGTATTCTGATTGCACATTCCAAGCTGTTTCATCTTGTTCTCATACTTAAGGGTTTTTGTATTTGTAAAACTGACTTGACCTGGTGGTTTAGAAATAAGACAGAAGCAATTCCAGGGTACAGAGTGATTTATTCTAATAATAAGGGACAGAGGGACTTATTTCAGTATTATTTATAATTCTGAATAATCAGAAGTGGCCTTAATGTTCATCAATGAGGAAGAAGAACTATATTAGTTATGTATATAGAATGAATATTATATACATATTAAAAATAAGTTTGTACAGAATTTTTAATTGGACAGATTCATGCTTGCAGTACAACAAAGGAAAAATTAGTCAATAAACTGTTTACTGAATGGGATATGATTGGAAGAAAATGTTCCCAAATATTGTCATTAGTTGTCTTTGGATTATAGTGCTATTGAAGATTTTGTTCTTTTGTATTTCTTGTGGTACTGACAAATTTTTATTCAAATAAGTATGTTATGTTTATAATTTAGAAAATAGTTTTTTTAATTGGTGCATAGTAATAATACATAAGGGTAGGATTAATTTGATATATTCATACATGAACTTAACAAAATTTGATCAGTTTAATTCTCCAGAACTTCCCCTTTCCTTCCCCTGGTCTCTTTTCTCTACTCTATTCTTCTCCCTTCTATTTTCATGAGATTTCTTTTTTCCTTTTCTTTCTAGATTCCACATATGAGAGAAAACATACGACCCTTGACTTTCTCAGTCTGGCATATTTTGCTTAATGTGATGCTCTCCAGTTCCATCCATTATTCTGCAAATGGTATGACTTTGTTCTTTGCTTTGATGGAATAAAACTCCATATATATATGATGGAGTTTTATTCCATCAAAACAAAGAACAAAGTCATA